ACACACACACACACACACACACACACACACACACACACGGAGGGAGAGTTTTCCGTCTTAACTAAGCACACACTACATCTGGTGACTATAGTTTTCACAATTTGATGTATGACAGTAAAAATGATTTTTCCACTAAGCAGGTGAAATACTTTGTCCGTTTTGTTTAAAATAATGCCCTATGGCTGCTCGTTGGGATGACTGCGCTGTTGATATCACTACTTTTTCAATTTGGGGTAAACACTGAGTATCACTGGGACACAAGCACTGGTGATTAGTGATTCACTTCTTCTTAAGCTCGGTGTGCAAGGTCCCCTCATTGCTGTTCAGGGCAGTATCCAGCTAAAAACACTGAGTTACTTATTCCTATAAATATATAGTTAGTGGTTAAAGACCGCTGTTGAATGCAAGTAACAGAAGCTACAGATACTAAAATGGCAAATAAGGAGGTACTATGCTATAACATGACATACACTGTCTGTAGCAGATAAGGAGTCCTGTCCTGTAACATGACATGTACTGTGTCTACCACATTGCACTGCCTAGACACTATGTTTGATATCTCTGCTCTCTTTGGTAAACATCAACAATGAATATCTTATGCCTATCAGGTAGTGAAGTGTATTAATTTTGAGATGTGGTCATCATGTCCCACAAATTTGTGAATTTAACTTTATGCTAGAGAATTTAAAAAATCAGCTTTGATATGGAAAACAATATGAGCTTTCTGTTAATTCTTTAATGTACACTAAAAGAATCTCATTTTACACACCAATCCCAGCTCCCACCCCTTCCCATCTTTCCACTCCTCCTGGAGTCTCCCCATCCCATCCCCATCCACTCCTCAGAGAGGGTGAGGGCTCCCATGGGGGACCATCAAAATCTGTTACATCATTTGCGGCAGGACCAAGGCCCTTCTCCCTGTATCTAGGCTGAGAGAGTATTCCTCCCTAGGGAATGGGCTCCAAAAAACAGTTCGTGCACTAGGGATAAATACTGGTTCCATTGGCAGTGGCCCCATAGGCTGCCCAAGCCCCCCAGCTGACACCCACATTCAGGGAGCCTGGTTTGGTTTTATGCAGGTTCCCCAACTGTCGTTCTGGAGACCATGAGCTCCCACTTGCTCAGGTCAGCTGTTTCTGTGGGTTTCCCCAGCATGGTCTTGACCCCTTTACTCATTACTCCTCCCTCTCAACAACTGGATTCCAGGAGTTTGCCTCAGTGTTTACCTGTGAGCCTCTGATTCTGCTTCCATCAGTTACTGGATGAAGGCTCTATGATGGCATTTAAGGTAGTCATCAATTTCATTCCAGGGGAAGGGCATTTAAAGTAGCCATTCCACTATTGCTTAGATTTAGTTGGGGTCATCCTTGTGGATTCCTAGGAATTTCCCTAGTGCCAGGTTTCTTGTTGAGCCCTCCAAAGCTCCCTCTATCAAGGTGTCTCTTTTCTTGCTCTCCTTTGCTCTTTTCTTCCCCCAATTCAACCTTCCTGATCCCTCATGTTCTCCACCCCGTCCCCTTCTTTCCTCCCCTTTCTCCTGCTTCCTCCTGCCTCCCCCCATGTTCCCAATTTACTTAGGAGATTTTGTCCCTTTCTCCTTCTTGGGGGTGGGGGGTCCATGTATGTCTCTCTTAGGATCCTCCTTGTTTCCTATCTTCTCTGGGGTTGCGGATTGTAGGTTGGTTATCCTTTGCTCTATGTCTAATATCTGTTCAACTATGTTCACAGCAGCATTATTTGTAATATCCAGAACCTGGAAGCAACCTACATGCCCTAAAGAATGAATAAAGAAAATGTGGCACATCTACACAATGAAGTACTACTCAGTGGTAAAAAAACGATGACATCTTGAAATTTGCAGGCAAATGAATGGAACTTAGGAGAAACCATCTTGAGTGAGGTAACACAGACACAGAATCCTGACAAACACAGTATATACTCACTCATGAGTTTTGTTCATAAAGGTAATAATCATAAATATTAGCTGGCTCTTACCTCTCTAATTTAATCACAGTCTCCCCTTGTTCTCATTTAGTTTCTAGTAACTCCATATGATACCATCTTATGAGTGGCTTTCTAGATTTAATTATTAGAAGAAAATACTGTACCATTCTGAGCAAAGCTTTGCTGTAGCTTTTGGTTTTGCCTGGTTCTGTTTCTCAGATTGGATTTCCTGTAGCTTAGGCTAGTCCCAAGCTCACACTGTGGCTGTAGATGACCTTGAACTCCTGGATGCTCCTGTCTCCACTTCTCAAGTATTGGAATTACAGCTGTGCCCACCATGCATGGCTAGGGATTCCTAATTTCTATAGCTACAGAGTTATTCCTATTTTGTTATTTTCTATTGTTTTTAAATATTTCCTGGTATAATTGATGGCATGCTTTGAGTTACATGTTAAAATGGAAATCAGATGTGCTAAAAATGTTCCCTGTTCTCATTGTGTGATCAAGAATTGCCCATATGTCCATTTCTACTTTTTCTTCTTTTTTCTTTTCTTTCTTTTCATTGTCTTTGGTGGCTGAATTGTATGCTTCAGATTGCAGACAAACACTAGTGGTCTCAGGACCATAGGGCAGTTTTAGGAATCTGACAAACAATCATTAAGTAAGTTAAATCATTTGCCATTGGCTATGTCAGAGGAGCAGCAGATGGCAATAGAAGTTTGAGGTGTCAGCCCATCAGGAGGAAAATCCCTTGATGAGTGAATCTCTGATTGGCAAGACCCAGAGACTACAGACTCCAAAATGTCTTTTGCTTCTGTTGTGTTTTTACATGTTTGAGGCTGTCATCTTTCTCTGGTATCTGGAGTAGTGTGAACAGGTAGGAGGAGATTCCCCACTGCCTGCTATATAGTGTGTTTATCTCAGGGAAATATCCTGTTTTACTGGACATTTTTACCTGTGGATTATTATGAAGATGATTTCCTCCTAAGCTGTATTGTTTAACTGAAGCAAATATTTACCACAATAATAGTGTTAGTTTAAATAGGATTTTGATTATTGAAGGTTTTAAATAAATAAAGAATTATGATAGAGGTTAGTTTAGTGGAAAAATTAATATAGGTAAAGGTAAGATAAACCTCTGATAAAGCAGAGGTTGCAGAGGATTAAAAAATAAAACAAGGAATTGTCATACAGCTAGAACAGATACATGAGTTTCTATTGGGGAGTCATATAGACTGTGGTTTAGGTAAAAGATTAAGAAAAACAATTGAGTCCCAGTAGCAAAGCTAGTTTAAATTCTTTTAACCTTAATGTTGGGAGATGTGTTCACAGGTTTCAGAGTACAACACAGTTGAAACAAAGCTTTCAAAGTAACAAAGTTAGACTAAGTTGTTTTCATCAAGTAGCTTTTAGATTAAAAACCCAAGAAGACAATCTAAAGTTTTAGAAAGGCATATAGTTGGATGAGGAACTTGGTAAGTTCAGAAACAAATACAAAGCAGCCCAATTATTACCAGCTGACGTGCTTTCCTTGTTAGGATTGTTTGATGACCGAAGGTGATGATCAATTTCTTGTACCCATTTTTGTGCTCGATCTCCTGGTGTAAAAAACTAAGGATGAGTGGGTATGCACCCTAAAGATTTAAAGTAGAGCCAAACAGTTGTTTTTCATATATAAAAGTTTAGTTTTGTGATTCTTTTAAGATTTCTTAAATATTACCTTTCCAGATAAGTAATAAAGTGATTGGTCCTTTCTTTATAACCACAAAAATACAGTCTGCCAGTAAAAGAATACCTTGCTTACCTACACTGTTAATTTATAACAAGTTGCTTGGGTATGAATGTACCTGAGTTCTTGGGATAACCTGATTTTCACCTGTAATATGTAAAATGTTTAATCATGTTAAGGAATATGGAAAACATGCTATTTTTTAACTTGTATTCATTGTAATTATTCACTTGAAAAATAGAATGTAACCACATTGTAGTTTTTTCTATTGCTTGAGAGATTTTGTTGGGGTATATAAGCTGTAGAGAAAACTAAAGAGAGAGAATACAGAAGAAGAACAAAGAAGAAAAACATCAAGAATGAAAGAATGAGGAAGAACAAAGATAGTGTTAGGAGGAAAACATCAAGAGAGACAGAAGGGACATTTCTGGATAGACATAAAAGAGAATATAGAATATTCTGTAAAGAATACAGAAGAAGGAACCCATAAGGAGAGCGTGTGAGTGTCTTTTTCCTAACCCCCTCAGATAAAAAAAGAAAACAATCAGAGTACATAAACTTAGTGGATTGTCTTTGAGCCCTGTGCAGAATGAGTAGAAGATAGGAGATAGAAGATGGCTCTCCTTAGCCTTGAGAGCCATCCATATCTGTAGACCCAGTAGTTGACTGCTGACTAAAACTTTTCACATACAAAAAAATCTATTGAGCATCTACAGTCTTTCCCCATTGTATCATCTAGACAAATAAGAACAACTATTTTCATGGCAATGGGATCGCCTTAGAAACTCTAAGCAGTCTGGAGATTATCTAAAACACACAGGGAAATGCACTATAGGCGCTGTGCAGATACCACATTTTACAGAAGAGAGTTGATCTCATATGAGCAGGTTCTGTAAATAATCTTCTGTGGACAGTGAGCA